TAGAGCTTCCCCTTTGAGAGTTCCACGTGTGCTCCTGTGCAGTCCAAACCAAACAAGACCTGTGACTATTTAAAGAAGCCACTCTGACTCCACAGTCCACTCATCCTTTTCAGATACAAAAATAACACATTGTTTTATCTATGAGTATAAGAATCCTTTTTCAAGGGAAATAAAAAGAGCAGACAGTTTCCTTCCTGACTAATTCACGAACCTCTTTAAATCTGTTAAACATAGCCACAGACACAACTCATTTGCTTGGTTTCGTTTCCTAAACTCAACCTGACAAGATAGGTCGGCGTGAAGGGTCTATATGTGTATACTGGGAAATCAAGTCGAAAGCTAGGGAATGTTCCATGGCCACCGGAGTGAGAGCCACCAGAGAGAGCAAGGATCCAATTTTACTAATAAGATTACTAGCCACGTCCTGCTAGTGGAAGAGCATCTAAGGACCTAGTTTTTCTTCCATGAGCTTCAAATACATCCATTCAAGATAGCGCATCCAACTAATAAGATCCACTTTTAAAAATCTCCTTATCCCAAACAAAAATGGAGCTGACACCTGCCTCCTTGAAATTTCACCACCATCTTCCTTCCTTGGTTCTGGTTATCTCTTCCGGAGTGTCAGAGAAGGAGTGAAACGTCCCCTCCGTCTGAAGCTTCTCAAATATTTGTGGAAAACAATAATATCACTCCTTAGTTTTTAGACTAAACATCCTCATTTCCTTGTGCTACTTCATCGTGACCATATTGGGATACAGCTGCATGGACGTCTGAATGGGTACAGTAGTTCAGGCAGTTTGATGAGCACAGATCAGGGAATCTGTTTTCTCAGCTATCCACAATTTTGAAGCAGAGAGGTTGGATACAGCTGTCATGGCCAGAGCAAGGGGAGGAAAACTTACAAAAGCGAGCCAGGAAGAAGGCAGAAAAACCATAAAAAGCAGACAGAAGAACTCAAAAAGCATGGCAGTTGAGGACAATAACGAGTTGAAAAGAAAGAACCACGTTGCAAGCTATAGCATTTCTCCAAGTGCTATTGGAGATTTGTGCCACACAAGCGGAAAGAGGTCATGAATCAAAAGTACCAGTTTCTCAGAAGAGCCAGTGGCTAGACAAGAGGAAATATTTAAAATTACCTTGACGTTGTTGTTGCCAAGGGAGATATCAACGTAGAAGTCTCACAGTTGTGTAGCAGGTCACTGCCCGCCTCTGCCTTGCCCACGCAGCAGCCTCTGAGGCTTCCTTTACACCTCAGTTCGCCCCCATGGCCTTTCTTGTCTCTCTGAACTCCTTGAGCTCTTGTCAGCAGCACTGTGTGGTCTGCCTGATATAAACTAGTGTTTCTACTTTACCCTTAAGAGGAGCTTAAATTGTGTTTTTGAAGATTTATTTATTTAGTAAAAGGGGGGGTGTATGGGAAGGGGTGGAGGGAGAGACTATCCAACCAGACTCCTGCTGAGCACAGAGCCTGACATGGCACTCAATCCCATGACCCATGAGATTAGGACCTGAGCCGAAACTAAGAGGCAGGGGCTTAACCGACTAAGCCACCCAGGTGCCTTAAGGAGCTTAAAATTCTTACTGATCTGGTTCTAATTGTTCCATGTGCACCTTAATCTGCTCCAACCAGGTTTTGAAAGCACACTGAGGTTCCACATGCTGCACAGTCCCGGGTGCATAACTAAGTTGTCGAGTTAAGAACAGACTGAATTTAGCTTATCTCTATTGCCCTAGACAATCTATAAATATGCATCTCTTTTCCGACATTCAGTGGTTTTCTAAGTAGATCAATCCGGCAAACACATTTATTGAATGCTCAGGGAGAGAGGAGTGAAGAGTAAGCTGTGGTAAGCATTGCATTAAACGTTCACGTCAAATATTCTGGGAGTACGGAGGGGACCGTGATGGGAAGGCAGGAGGTCCTTTCCTCTACACCTGAAGCAAGCAAAGATGAGTTGTCAGGATGAGTAGGGTTGTCCAAGGGGAGAACGAGGTGGGAAGAAGGAAGGCCGTGGAGACCAAAGGAAGGTACTGTGTGTAGGCAGAAGATGAGAGGAGAGGCAGCATGCATTCAGGGGGTCATGAGCAGTTGCACAGCTGGGGAGCTCAGGGGTGAAGGGAGGTATAAGCCACAAGGCCGCAGAAGGAGCCCAGGGAGGACCTTGTGTGCCTGGATGAGGATGAGAGGTGATCCACAACCACTGACAATTTGAAGCAGGGAAGTAACGAGTCATAAGATTAGTCATTTAAAAAATCACTCTAGAACTGAAAGAGGGTGGGGGGGAGAGAGAAGTAGGCGGGCTGTTCGGGAGGATGAGAGATGATGTCAGGAGATGACAGGGTCAGGATGTCCGTAGTGGCAGCCAACAGGGGCAACTGAGGTGAGAATGGTCTCCCCTTTCCTCAGAAACAAATGACACAGGTTGATGGAAACGTGTAGAAATGATCAGTGGTGGCCAAATTCTTCATGCTGTCTGACTTCAGAAAAGCATTTAGTGGGAAAAGGAATCACTGTAGGAAATAAGAACCAGGTAGAGAGAAAACCAAATGACAGGATGACTGAAAAAGTCTGCAGGCTCAAATTTACACTAAGGCCTCAAGGACAAGTTCCTACGGCACCTCAGGGAGTGGGACGGATGGAGGAAGAGTGGACCCTCCACAGGTTACAGGACATGGACCGTGGCCAGCCTTCCCGCTGACTTCGTTGTATGACTTTAGGTAAATCATTTAACCCTTCTGGAGTGTCCATTTTCCCATCTGTAGACTGAAAATAATACTAGTTACTTCTTTGGGTTCTTGTCAAGTTCATGGGATTAGGTATACCAGTTGTCTAGCAGTGTCTGCACAGTAAGGTCCTAAATAAGTAGCCTCTTGCTAAGTGTGCGGCACGGCTAAGGGATTCAAAGACAGTTGAGACACAGTTCTGTCTCAAAACATCTACAATTCAGTCGGGAAGAGAGGCATGTCAATCCCCAAATAATAATAAAAAGCAGGATAAAATAAGTACTGACTGATGACCCAAAAGTCATGCTGTGGGAGGGCAGGCAGGAGAATGAGTATCTGAGTCCACTGTTCGGACTGGAGGACCACTGCTAAACTGGCCATGGCGGGAGGAGGGTTAGTGGTGAGTCAGGCGGTCTGATGGCCAGCACGCTGGGTCTGGTCCAGCCTGGGGGTCCTGCTCTGCTCCTGGACAGCAAACACAGCCCAGCAGGAGAGACTACTCCCGGAGGCTAGACTTACAGCAAATAGAAGGATGGTGGTGGTCACGATTGTGGGCAGAAGCCATGAAGCAAGTTGGCTTCTGAGAACCCCAGACTAGTCTGGCAGAAAAGGTGAAGGGAAAGGAAGTAAAGTCTTCGTGGAGAGCTGCAAACTTGCAGAAATATCCCTGCTTCAAGCAAGGGCTTCTCTCATGCTGTCCCAAGCTGCTTAGTCGCTGGGTCAGACACAGCCCCATATGCCCTGGTAGGGAAGAATGAGGGTCGTGGGGATGGACCACAAGGAAGGCAGGTATGGGGGCTGGAGTGGGTCTGAAGAACCCAGTTCTCAGGCATGTCTGCCATTTCCTTGCTGTCGGGTTTAGATCAGTCATCTCATTCCTGTCTGGGGGTTCCTAACCGCTCTGTGTGTCTTCTGGGGGATATGGGGGAAAAATGCCTTCTGAACTGAGGATCCGGAACCTCCTTGCCCTTCTCTCAGATCTGCAACCTCCCTGGCCTGATTCAGTGGCTCCCCGAGAGCCACATCTAGAGTCCTTGTTAGAAGGTAAACCAACAATCCTTTGAAGAAGGAGGTGTTAAAGAGAGATGTTCATAATTGTTTTTTCCATGACTAACTGTTTTGTCCGTGTGTAAGCAGACCAGTTGAAAGAATTCTTAGAGACAGGACCTTTTGGGAGAGAAACAGGACCATCACTCTAACTACTGGGGGAATGCTACCCTCGACTTTCTCTGAAAGGATACATTTGTGGAAGTACAGTTTTTAGATTTTTCAGCAGGCTCTCTAAAATCGTCTCCCTGGCAAAGAATGGGGTTGATGCTCTGTGTTGAAGGAGTCTGGAGTCTCAGAGTCAGACTCTTTGAGCAGTGCAAGTTTCCAGGGCGGAAGAACTGATTTCTATGTCGTTTCTCCGCCAGGAACACATACTTGCGCCTTCTGTTGTCTCCTGGGGAGTCCTTGGAAACAGGCTACCGAACAAATTGTGTCTTTTTATGTAAAACCTCAACGTGCCATAGCTCTTTACATTTCAAGAGGTGCCAATTTGATATTTTATGATACTCTACATGGGAGGTTTGGATGATTCCTGGCACCTGAGGACCGAAATTGAGGTCTGAACTGCTTTCCAAGTGGGAGCCCCAGGGCCACAGCGCTGGCTCGGATTTGCTTTGGATGTTGCTGCTCAACAAACTGTCTGAGGTCTATAAAGAGGAAGCACTTGGAATAGTTTTCTCAAATGTGGTCTGTTTTTTATGTGTGGCTTCTCCCTGATGATATTTTGCAGCCTGCTCTGTGTTTAAAAAAAAAAACCAAACCCCCCCCCCCCAAAAAAAAACCAGTTTGTGAAAACATTCAGGAGAGCAGCATATGTCTAACTCTTGGGAACTGGAAAAGGAAAAAGAACGAACAAGTTTCCAACGTGTGGGTGTTCCCCTCTCTCTACACCCCTCTGCCTTCCTGGATTTCTTTGTCACAAGCGTGGCCACTGCGGTCATTCCCTGTGGGTCAGTGGCATGGTCTGTTCCGGGAACTACTTCCCTGCAGGGATGGGGTTCAAATGATGGCCCTGGGGGGGTTGGTGGGTGGTCCCACCAGTGTCTTCCCCTTAGGCCTTGCCAGCCCTCTCCCCACAGAGGGTCACTTCCCAGAGCCGCAGGGGAGGGGGCGAGGAGGTCAGAGAAAGGAACAGGCTGGAGGCAGCGGGGGACCGGGAGGTGGAAAGTTAAACAGGGAAATAGACGTCTGATCTGTTTCTTGTTGCTTCTGCAACAGCTGTTTACCTTGAACAGTGAGGTACGCGGAACTTTCCACGGACCCCTTCTGGTTGGTGGCTTTGCAGTGATAGACCCCTTCATCCTCTTCTGTGACTCTTTCAATAAACAGCGTGCTGCTTCCTGGTCCTAAAATAATTCCTGCGGGGTGAGAGATGTTTACATTAGTGGGCCTGGGTGACACACAAAAACAGCTACTTCTGTAATCCAACCCTCTTCCTATAATTATGAGTTCAGACGAGGAAATCCGAGCTCTAGGTAACCTTGGGCTGGGCTGCTTATTTGTTTTCTCTTGGTCCACGCAGCCGAGCTCAGACCCCAGCTCTGGAGACGCAGACAGGACCCAGGCCCTTCGCTGTGTGGAGGGCAATGAGATGGGGCTGCCAGACTCTGCTTTCGGGAGCAGATGTCAAGGAGGCAGCGTGTCTAACGATGACACCATCGACTCGCAGCCTGCTGCGTGTGAGGCTGCTACGGACACTTCGAATCTTGACATTGACAACCGCCCCTTAAGGTCATAGGGTCTCCGTTTTACAAACGTGGAAACAGATCTGGGGAGGTTAAGTAACTTGACCGAGAGCCCACAGCTGCACGGACACACATCTGTGGCCTCGGGGCCAAAGGAAGTCCTGCTTCACTGGCTGGAGAGGGGAAGAGCTCGGGCGGTGTTTTAGTCCAGGTCTTAGCCCTTCCAGCTTTGTCTCTTTAGGCGAACTACTTCACCTTTCTGTTTCAGTTTCTCCAATCTTAAGATGAAAATGCAAGCAAGTCCTGCCAGGTATACAGGAACACGAATGGCTAGCGCAGCACACAGGGTTAAGCGCTCCGTAAATTTGAGCTAAAGGGTTACTACCGAGCATCATGTAATAGAAGGAGCACCAAAAATTTTCAGAGCCCAGCTTGAAGACCCAGTAGCCTCAACACCAAGGACTACCACCAAATATTTATCGAGTATTGACTCTGATAGTAGTCTATGTTAGACTTTAGGGGAGGGGGAAGGCTAAGACCCCATTATCTGAAAGGAGGGACAATGAATTCCTAACAAACACACATACATACATATTCTCTGTGTGTGTGTGTTTCATGCACACATATGCACACACACACCAGCAAACAGAAAGTGTTTCGTGAATGAGAGTTAATAAATGTAGCATGGCATACCCAATTAAATGCAAAGCCTGGGATGGGAAGGAGATCGGTAAGGAATAGGAAAATTCAGGAAGGCATCATAGAGGAGGTGGGCCTTGAGCTGAGGTTCCAAGTATTATCAGAGGTGCAGAGGAAGGGCAAGCAAGAGAACAGCCCTGCCGCTGACATGAATGGGCATTGAATTCTTGTTCTGGAAAGCATAAAGAACATTTAAAACAAACCTACAGTTTTTTCTCCCAGCTATTTTCCCTTTATTCTTTCTAAAGTGGACTTTTTAACACATTTTGTTCATTCATATGATATTTTTGAGCTCCTACCATTTACTAGCCACTATCTAGAACTGGTGATAGAATAATAAAGAAGTCAAATGAATGCTTGCCTACACAGGGCTTAAATTCTAGTTTGGGAGAATTATAAATGAGTAATTTCAAGGAACAAAACCCGTGAAGAAACAAAACCAGGGTAAGGGGATCACAGGGCATGGAGGATGCTTAGGGAATGTTCTCTGAAAAGGTGACATCAGAGTAGAGACCTCAAAGATGGGGAAGAATGAACTATTTGAAGATCTGAAAGGGCATTGAAGGCATAGGGAGTAGCGACTATAAAGTCCCTGGGGCAGGAATGGACTTGTTTAAGGGACAGTAAAAAGACCATGTCGACTTTGGTTAGCAAGCAGGAGAGAGAACTGGCTGGGCTCGATCAGGTATGACCACAGGCCATGGTAAGGATTTGCGGTTTTATTCTAAGCACAGAAGAAGGCCATAGGAGGATTGTACCTAACAGCTCATAACTCTAAGTCACAGTGTAATTAACATCTTTCAGCATAAAGATTTTTCTGTATTTCAGATTACTTCCTTAGAAGAGATTTCTAGAAGCAGATTTATTAGGTCAAAAGCTCTTGATTCTTGTAACTACATGCCTTCCAAAAGGATTATATCCGTGAACATGTCTACCGGCAAGGCTGAGACACTATTTTATGGGATCATCTAAAAAAATAGAAAACACAAACCTCTGCTGATTTGATAGATGACTTGTTAGCCATTTTTACTTTCAAAGCATGCATTTGGAGTGCTTGACTGGAAAAGGTGAGTTCAGATTAAGGAGAGGTTTGAAATCCTAGCTGAGGAGTCTCTATTCAGGGCAGAAGGAAAAGAGGGGCTCACAAAAATTTTTGAGCAGGGAAATGACATAATGAAAGCAATGTCTAAGGAAGTTTAGTCTAGAATGAGAATGCAGGGTAGACTGGAATGAGGGAAAAGAGGCATCTGGAAGTCCAGGTCACAAGCTGTAATTCAGGCAAGGAATGCTGAGGATCCAAATCTGGATGGTGGGAAAGGAAGTGGAGAGGGAAAAATGCAAATGGACACTTTGTAGAAACAATCTACAGGAAGTGCTGCCCTACTCAATGCAGAAAGGACAGAGATGGGTGCAAGGTGATTCTGATATTCTAAGTCCAGGTAACGGGGTGAAACATGAGACTCTCCCTTGTAAACTTGATTAAATCATTTAATGTCTTCGAGTCTGTTTCCCCATCTGTAAATTGAGAATAGTACCTGCTTTGTCTATTT